CCGGCCGCTCCGGTCGCGTCATGGCCCAGGTGCGTGCAGCCCAGCGCCCCCACGGCCGGCCGTGCGGACCGCCTCTGTTCCGCACTGCCTCCGCCGGCCCCTCTCCCCTCGCAGCCGCCGAGCGCGCGTGCTGGGAGCTAAGGGCTGGCTGGGTAGAGAACCGAGTCCAAACGCGCGGGGAAGGGGCCCCCGGCGTCCTGGGCCAGCTCGGGTTCGGAGCGCTGGGCCGGGGGTGAGGGGTGGTGGTGCACCGACGCGTTACGGTCGGTAAAGCCTCCTGCCCCGTCCGAGGTGCACGAGTTCAGTGGGCACCCGCACCCAGGAGACGGCCACACGGTCAGCGCGTCCTGCGGAAACAAGGTACTAGGGAGGCCTTGCCGCTCCTGGGAGGGATCTTGTCTCGAACTGGGGGAAACCACTTCCCCACCCCCAGGAAGGGGTCCACCTGTGGAGATGCCACCGGCCTGTCCCTACCCAGCCTTTCCTCCAGCTCGGAGGAGAGGGCGGGAGAGAAAAGTCAAGGCTGGGGAGCTGCGCTGGGGAGTGGAGAGAGAACCTCCCACAGCCCTGCGCCTGTCTCTCTCCAGTGGAGGGGATGAGAGGAGGGTCGGGGCTCCCTTCGCTTGGCTCCGACCCACCAGGAGACACGCTCGCTCTGCACCGCCTCGGGAAACCCGCCTTGTGCTAATATTGCACCTCTGCTTCTCTTTCAGAAAACGCCAGAAATTTACTCTGTGGAGCTCAGTGGAACTGAAGACGTGGAGAAAACAGACAGGGGGGGTGGTGGCGGCAAGGAGAAGTACAGGGGCCTGAAGAACAAGCGCTTGGGACTCAGAAAGAATCACCAGAAGGAAGCACTGAAAAAAGAACTTGGTCTGGTCAGTTGATTTGGTCCTTAAGCCAAATGGGTCCCCGTGAGTACTGCCCTTCCCCCTGAGAGCTTGCCCCTGTAACCTGCCTCTTACAAAAGAAAAATCAGTCTCAAAGATTGGAAAATCTCTGTGACATTTGTTTCCTCGTTTAAAATTTTAGAAATGGTGTGATAGTATCTGCCCCGGTTCGGGCCTCTGCAGGATTCCTGCGTTCTGGTTGTAGGCACTCCCAAGCAGAGCTCAGGGAAGAATCATTCCAGTCCCCGCAGGCGTGGCCCAGCCCTCTCCTTCCTAGCTGCTTCATTGAGATAGAAGTATCCACTTGCCGGTTTTTTGCTGATAAGGTAAAACTATTTGAGCTGGAACCGCCCAGTAGGAAACCAAACCACTCAGCTTTGCTAGATTTCTGGTGTGTATGGCACATGAGAAAGAATAATTCCAGCGGTAAGAATGTTGGGCTTGGAATCAGACCCGCCTCAGGCTCAACTGAAGTTCCACTTCTCCACTGATTGGATCTGTAATTGGGAACAAACTACCTAGCTTCACTGAAGCTCCTTTTTCTTTATGTAAAATGGGAAATAGGGGCCGGCCAGGTGGCGTAGCGGTTAAATTCACATGCTCCGCTTCCACGGCCAGGGCTTCATGGGATCGGATCCCAGGTGCGGACCTACTCACCGCTCATCAAGCCCTGCTGAGGCAACATCTCATATACAAAATAGAGGAAGATTGGCACAGATGTTAGCTCAGGGCTGATCTTTCTCAGCAAAAAAACAAAAGAAAATGGGAAATAATTTACATGGGTCTGTGAGGGGGAAAAAGTGAGGTAAGAGGCAGAGTATTTTGTGATTAAAGTGCTCTATGAAGCACGGTATTTTTGCTATGAAAGAAGAACTTTGGGGTATTAAAGCTGGCTGCCTGGAGAAGAGCCACCACAGTGCTGAAATGTGATAGATGACATCTCAGGAGGGCCAGAGGGGAAACTTGCACACCGAGCCTAAGATTTTGCTAGATTGTCCCTGCAGTTCATTGCACACTTTAAAGCTCTAGGACTGTTTGAGGTTTGTGCGTCGGTAGTGCTGTGAGCTCCCGTGGGTAGAGAAACAATTGTTAAATACTCGGGAATTTTGCAAGCTGACTGACATTGTGTAGTAGCTTGAAATCTGGCTATGGTGAGAAATGCCACAAATCAGAGCTTTTTATGTGTTTTTCCTGGAGAGCTCGTTAAACATTAGCAGCATACCACTAGGTGTTTGTCCATATGTATTCTGATAGACATTTAAGAACACAGTCCTGGAATTGAACCGACCTGAATTCAAATCTGTCTGATTGAGGTTTAGTTTCCTATTCTGAAAAATAGGAATTAAAAATGGTGCCTACCTCTTACAGTTGTTGAGAGTGTTAAATAAGGTAAAGCAGGAGAAAGACTTGGCACAGCATCAGACAGTAGCTCCTCATTCTTATTTCCTGTGCATTTGTAGCATTTAGGATGGAAGACAAATCTAGTCTTCCTTGAAATTTCTACCTATAACATGAACATATATCCATTCTGTTATATGCTTGTTTATTATGGTGAGATCTCCATTCTTTGAGCGTTTTGTGAAGATGTGTAATAGAGAAAAATAATTTCCATAGCATCAGCCAAAGTGTTCCCCTGCTTCCTTGCTCAGAGAGGCACATCTTTCCTTCTTGTTTCCCAGCCTTCTCACAAGAGTCCTGTAGTTTGTGACAGCATACTTGGAAGCTCTTGCATCCTGACCTCTCCAGCAGATTAGAACCTGGTGAGGAACAAAGTATCCCTGGCTTCTGAATAAACAACAGGTTGATAATGTCCCAAGCCTGAGCTGCCAGATGCTGCCCTGGGCTATTCCAGGGCTGGCCAGCAAAGTGTACCCCAGACATCCCCCTCAACCCCATCCCCTTCTCCGTGCTGTCATCCCCAAAGCCAGGGCTAAAGGGAGGGGGAAAGGTGTTCTGCCTCATGGTAAAAGCCCCTTAAAGTCTGAGATCCAGCCATGCAAACAATGGCTCTAATCATCAGTTACTTGTATCTGCCCAGCACTGAGCATACTGTGCCCAGAACTGTGTCTTAATCCCTTGAATCCACATTCAATTGATAATCGGTACAATGAATGAATGAGCACAGCAGAATCTGGCTGAGGAGAGGGGAAAAAAAATTTTACTGGAAATTCTAATCTCTCAATGCAACATGAAACATTTTTTGCATATACTTAAGAAATGGTTCTGGTACTAATCAGTATAAGTCTCTGTTTCAGACAATCAGAGCTTACAGAATCCTGAGTGCTAGGTTTTCTGCTACAGGAAGGGGCTTCTCACCTTTCAGCCCAGTGGTTCTCAAAGGGAGAGGAGAGGAGGATTTTGTCCCCCAGGGGACATTTAGCAATGTCTGGAGACATTTTTGGTTATCACTTCTTGAGAGAGAGGGAGCTAATAGTTGGCATCTAGTGGGTGGAAGCCACCACAACAAAGAGTTATTGGCCCAAAATGTCAGTAATGCCAAGGTTGAGAAACTCTGCTTTAGTCTAATGAATCTGTGGCAAATTAGTAAGTGTGGGCCATACTTGTATTTATTTGGCAGGTGTTTAATCTGCAGGTCTTCTCTAACCAGTGAACCGAGTCTCAAGTACTTGAATAAGGAAAGGCATGCTTCTCTCTACCGGAGACTACCTACCTACCCAGGGAGGGCTCGTGGGTAAAGAGTTGTCAGAACATATGAAATGTTTTGGTTTTGCTCATCACCCTCAACTAATCCCAGAATTCAGGGCTGAGTTAAGGATACAGACAGCTAATGCCTAGACAACAGATGTGCTAAGACTTGCATGTGTTGAAGTCAGATTGAGGTGAAATGCATTGCTTTGTTCATAAAAACGAAAAAGACAGGTACTATGTGGTAAATGGCAAATTAAATCTGAACTCTTCAGGGATGGCCAGCAAGTCCCCAGCCAGTGGATCAGAAGAACCAGTCTCTCCTGCAGCACGACTCTGCCCTCACTGCAGCAACCACCTGACACAGAGGGTTCTTTGTTTTTCTCCCACACTGCCTGACCCCTGTCCCATCGTCAGTGCTACTTTCCCAGTGTTATGGGCTGGTCGAAGTTTAGGGTTTGAGTCTTTTGGAATTATCTAATTCACTCTGTTCTTCCTTTCGTGGCCTTCAGGAGGACCACAAACTCAGCACTAAGGAGTTGGAAAAGAAATACGGTACCAACATCATTACGGTAAGTCATCAGGGAACTAGTGACAGGGAAGAGAATCCCTGTGACTGTCCAGAGGAGACGGCTGTGTGCTCAGTGTGTGGAAAAGAATATGGCACCTCTAGGATGAGTAGCTTTGAGAATGCCAGTGACCCACATCCCTGGCATGTGAGAGAGAGGGCTGGTTAACCTCAGGAGCTGGTGTGTCTGAACCAAGGCCCTGGTCAAGCTCCTCTGCTGAGCTGTGCAGTTGGTCATAAATAATTCTCTTGACTGTGGGGAGGAAAGCTGTGGTATCCGCAGAAAGGTTCGGGTGTTTCCTCATTGTCATGGTCAGAAGTTGCTTTTACTCCCTGTGACCAGGAAGTATAATAGTCTTACTGAAGAAGGGGGAAACACAGTGTTAAGAAGCAAGGATCCAGGGGGCCAGCCCAGTGCATAGTGGTTAAGTTCACGCACTCGGCTTCAGAGGCCCGGGGTTTGTGGGTTTGATCCTGGGTGCAGACCTGTACACTGCTCATCAAGCCATGCTGTGGCGGCATCCCACGTACAAAATACAGGAAGAATGGCACAGATGGTAGCTCGGGGAAGATCTTCCTCCGCAACAAGAGGAGGATTCGCAACAGATGTTAGCTCAGGATCGATCTTCCTCACCAAAAAAAAAAAAAAAAAAAAAACCAAGGATCCAGAGTAACAGTCTGAGAAACCTGGCTTGTCCACCTCCTCTAAGAAGGGACAATACCTCCAGGGCACACTGCTGTGCTCCCGGGCTCTCACAAATTCTCCCACCACAGAGGTGCTGCTTCCTTCTGTGAATTCAAACTCAAATTGCAAGAGTTTGGTGTCTTGACATCAGGAGATTTGGATACATCTGTTCAAGTCAACAAAAATACCTACTATGTGCAACACGTTGGACTAGCAGTAAGAGGGGCACAAAGGAGCAGGGGATCCCCGGTCTTAAGGTGGAGGCTGCTCAGTACGAGAGGCAGACGTGGAGGAAAGTGTCAACATTCACTCTATTCTGCTTAGATGGCAAATGAGAGGTTTACTGTTTATATGCTGAGAGAATGATAAATTCTGACCAGAGGAGGCTTCCTGGATGGTGCAGTGGTTGAATTGGGGCATGGGAGGATGATTCAGATTAAGTTGGCAGAGTACCCAGGGGGCCAGAAAGGACAGACTATTATCTGGAGAGAGCCATCGGGGTTCCTGGGAGCCAGCGTGCGTGGGAAGGGGAGAGGCCAGGCAGAAAACGAGGCTGGTGAGAGGTGATGCAGGTGAAACTGTCAAGCGCTTTCATATTAAATTCAGGGATAAGGACTACATTAGTTGTATAAGGGGTACAATTTCTAAACAGGAAAGCGGTTTGATAAGATTAGTTTTCAAAAGGCAATTCTGGTAGAAGATAGATACAGATATCTACAAATATATCTATATATATTTATTTTTTAAGTGGGAGATGGAAGGGTCTAGAAGAATGGGACAATAATCCAGGACTGTGAAATGAGGATCTGAAACAGGCTAGTAGCAGTGAGATGGGAAGGAAGGGGGCAGATTCAGGAGATGTTTCAGAGAAATAACTGATTTTACTTTGCCTTGCCGGGGTTTTGAACAAATCCCTAATCCCATTTTCCAAGGCAGAGAAGCAGGAAGAGGAGGAGGTTTGGTTCTGTGGTGGACTGGACCATGGCGGGGCAAGGGGGTGAGAGATTAGAGAGGGCAGTAGGGAAGAGAAAACATGAATTGTATTTTGAATTATACTATTTGAAATGTCTGTGGAACATCCTGGTGGAAATGTAAATGTTCAACAGTCATTGAGAAAGGTGAGTCTGGGGTTCTGGAAAAGGAATTGCAGATGGGGAATGATGATATCAAGTTGGTGACTCTAAATCCAGTTATTCAACAAATACTTGAGCCTCTACTACAGAAAAAGCAGTAGACCTTATAAAGGACACAAAAATGAACAAGGATAGAGTCCTTACCTTTAAGTAGTTTACAATATAATTAGAAAAGATGTGTCAAAGACTTTCTCCATAAAAGACAAGTTTGTGGGGGGAAAAAACCCTATGAATGATAGGACAGGTATGTGGAGGGGGCTCTGTGCACTGTGGATGGCATGCTTACCTGGGAAGCTTCTGACAAGTGACTGCTCATGTGGGCCTCAGAGGTTGGTAGGGTTTATAACTGTTAACATGAACAAAAACTTAGAATCTCAGGTGAATGTATAAAAAAGCACCCCAGTTAAGGATGAGAAATTAGTCCGAGAGCTATATAGAAGCTCCAGAATAGAGAATATTTTCTGGATAGTTACTGCATTGCCCTTAACCCTGGTGACTAGCTTCTGGATTTCAAATTCTCCTTAGCCAAGTTACTCTCTTTCTTATCTCTAAGACACTAATATGCCTTTGCAGAGCATAGTACAGTGGCTCAGGAGCCGGGGTGCCTGGTTGAATGCTGTGCCACCAGTTACCGGCCGGGTGACTGAACCTCTGCATGCCTCAGATCCCACATCTATAAAATGAGCAGAATAGTAGTGCCTTCATCAGAGGGTTATCCTGAAGAATAAATGAATAAATATATGGAGAACACTGCCTGGTTTATAGTAAGCATTAAGTATTCTGTCTCAGCAGGTGGGGGTGGGGGATGAGGCCTCGTCACCTCCGGCATGGTCACTTGTACCCACAACTGTGCAAGCATGATGTCCACCCTGGGGGAGGAGAGAGGTCTCACTCCTGTTTGGTTTGCTTGGCTTTCTCAGGGTCTCTCCAGCACCCAGGCTGCTGAGCTCCTGGCCCGGAACGGGCCCAACGCCCTCACCCCTCCCCAGGAAACACCGGAGATTATCAAGTTCCTCAAGCAGATGGTGGGGGGGTTCTCTATCCTTCTGTGGATAGGAGCCATCCTGTGCTGGGTCGCATATGCGATTCAGTACTTCAGCGATAAGTCCTCATCCCTAGACAACGTAAGGCATGGGGGTCTCCTGCATGGTTTTGCTAAATTAGTAACGGGACAACAGAACCGTAAATAAGGTTTTTATGAGCAAGGCGCTGGGCTGGCATCAAGAGTTGACGACTGATCCATCACTGCACGGGTTTGGGAAAATCAGTAATTTTCCCAAAGTTGCGTCTGACTCTGATGTCTCAGAGGCAGTATAAGCATGAATTTTAAAAAGAGAGAGAGAAACTGTAAGTTCTAAGTGGGGGGAAAAAAAAAGTCTGTATCCATGTGGAGAGTTTTTGGACTCTCTCCTCAAAGCTCTCTCCCTCTAACCTGGAGAGCATGTGTGCCTGCTGAGAACTGAGTACCAGAACCACAGGGCTGAGTCAGCCAACGTGACACTAAGAGAAAGGCCAGATGCAGAGGGTCACGTGCTGTCTGATCCCATGGAGAGATGTCCCCAGCAGGTACATCCTGCAGACAGAGGAGATCAGTGGTTGCAGGGCTGGGGGCAGGGTGGGAAATGACTGACAGTGGGCACGAGGGGTCTTATTAGGATGATGGAAATGTTCTAAAATTGGATTGTGGTGACTGCCGCACATGGTGTAAATTTATTGAAAATCATTTCATTATATACTTAGAGTGGGTAAATTTTGTGGCCTGTCAGTTACACCAGGACACAACTGCCCTCTTCCTCACCTTCCCGTGGTGAGCTCTAGCCTAGGAGCTGGCTTACTCCTGATGCTTGATTTCTGATTGATGCCTCTCCTCCTCACCCAGGTGTACCTGGGCGTTGTGCTTGCCCTGGTCGTTATTTTCACGGGCATCTTTGCTTACTACCAAGAGGCGAAAAGCACCAACATCATGGCCAGTTTTAGTAAGATGATCCCACAGGTGAGTGACAGCCATCCCTCTCTGGTCTCTGCATGACTTCAGGTGAGGAAGCATCAGATGAAGAGGAGAGTGGGGCGTTAGGGGCAGAGGGTTCATGCTCAAGCCCTGGCCCCATCCCTTGCAATCTGAGAAGTCTTGGGCAAGTGACCTAATCTCTCTGAACCCCCGCTTCCTCAGAGGGTTTTGAGACGATCATTGAGGTAAGATAGAGGGAAATGCTTAGTCAGGGGTGAAGTAGGACAGAAGCAGTCATTGCACAACACTTTCTGTTACTGCTCGTAAGCACTGGTGAACTGTTTGGACAAAAGTAATTCAAGTGGCTCTGACAGTAACTACAGAAGTTCAGGAGTGTTCACTGGTAGCCGAGGAGATCAGCCTAGAATTCTGTACCTGGGGCCATTTTTGCTCCTGTTCTGAGCATGTTGCCCCACAATACTCTCAGCATGGGAGGCCCACGGCTCCCCTCTTCCCTGAGGAACCTGTTAGGTGTCCTCTGGGGACACCGGGCACCACAGCACAGCGGGAAAACCACGCTGTCCCTGGCCCACAGCTGCCAGCTGGAGGGGATTCTGGGTGGGTCTTTTGTGCTAAGAAGTGGGAGATCCACCCCCTACTCCGTTCAGGTTTTCCTGACCTGAGCAAGATGATTAAACCCTTCCTAGGCGTCCCAGCCAGGATCACTCATCCTTCATTATCTGCCTCTCTGCCAGGCCAAGGGCTGTTGCTTTGCTGTATCTGTCTACAGCAGATTTTCTGCTTCCAAGAATATCTCTATGAGCTCCTCAAGAAGAAATACTTCTTACGGTCTTCAGGCCCCAAGTAAAAGTCTTTTGTTTCATTTTTTGCTGTTCTGACAGCTGCGAATTCCAATGCCTCTGTACCTGAGGTTTGCTGAGGTATAGACAGAGGAGAGTCTGCATCATTGCAAGATCTGAGGCATCTGTCATGTTTTTCTTTTGCAGCAAGCTCTTGTCATTCGAGATTCAGAGAAGAAGACAGTCCCTGCAGAGCAGCTGGTGGTGGGGGACATAGTGGAGATTAAAGGAGGAGACAAGATTCCTGCGGACATCAGGTTGCTGTCTGCTCAGGGGTGTAAGGTAAGTGTCACAGGGCACCCTGAGGTTTATGCTTGTAACTAGCTGGCATTCTGTTGTCTTTCCAGGTCTCAGTGTAACTGGGGCAGGGAACAAAGTACCTAATCTTGAACTTTTTTGAAATTTCTTCTAGGTCGATAACTCATCTCTCACTGGGGAATCTGAGCCCCAGTCTCGCTCTTGTGAGTTTACCCACGACAGTCCCTTGGAAACAAAGAATATTGGCTTCTATTCTACCACCTGTCTGGAAGGTAAGTCGGGCTGGCTCTCAGGGCCACCTGTCCCACCCATGTAACTTCTCCCTCCTCGGGCTTTATGTTTTTGTATCTTTATCATCTCTTGCTACAAAGCTTTTCCAAGAGAAAACATGGAATTGAAGAGGCTAGAGAACTATGTTGGGCCTTTGTGACATCATGTGCTAAATGATCATGTAAGCCACCAAAGAGAGGCCTGTAGGCAGGCTGTGGTCCTCTCCTGGCTGAGGACCCCTGGAATAAAATGTCTGCTTCACCTGTAGGCACAGCAACTGGCTTGGTCATCAACACAGGTGACCACACCATCATTGGTCAGATCGCCTCCCTGGCTTCTGGAGTTGGACATGAGAAGACGCCCATTGCCATTGAGATCGAGCACTTTGTTCATATTGTGGGAGGAGTGGCCGTCTCCATTGGCATCCTTTTCTTCATCATCGCGGTGTCCATGAAGTATTCTGTCCTGAACTCCATCATCTTCCTCATTGGCATCATTGTGGCCAATGTGCCTGAGGGTCTCCTGGCCACTGTCACTGTGAGTCCATGCTGCTAGGTGGCCTGTACCCTGACGCTGTTAATACATGCCATTCTACTTTGCAAACTGCAAGTCTCCTCCATCTTCAGAGCGACACTCCCTCCACGTCGGGGACAACCGTGGGACATTCTAAGTATACTGTTTCTTAGCAGGACAGAGGGAATTGTGATATTGTTAATATTTGAATGTACTGTCCTTGGAAACTTTATATTTTCATTTTCAGGAGATCTATCTGCAAATCACATATGTTGCTTTGCCCCTTAAGATCTAGCTAAAACAGACTTGAACCACTGCTTACAGATTTTTCCCAGAAGTCTGATCCCTTCCTCACATTTCCACATTTCTTAGAAAAAAAAAATTTCCTTGGCCATTTCTACAACTGAGGAATTGAGGCAGGCAGATTGTTTACCTCACTTCTCTTCCCTCTCTCAGACACACAAATTCCTCCCATTTTTTTCTGCAAAGCAATTCAGCCTTTTCCTGCCTGTACCCCCAAATTCAGCTTTGGGTCTCCCTTTGTAAGGGCCCATCTACTTCATCCTTAACCAACCCCTACCTCTCTCCCTAATCTCTGCTGTGGAGGCCCTGTGGGGTGGGGGAAGAGGGCACTCCTATTTCCAGTTGTACGTAAATGTGGCCTATGTGATCATTGGCCTGGTGTTGTCCTGAGCAAAGACAGAGAGAAGTTTTTGAACTCTGGGTCTGTTCTGACTCCAGCAGATAGTAATTTGAAGAAATTAGAGCCAACAGAACCCTTTGAGATCTGGGGGTTTAAAAGAGAGAGCTAAGAATCTTTAAAATGCAACACAGATGCTTCTAGATTTCCCAAAGCAACAAGTGAGCCCTTTGGGACATGCTTTTGGGCATATAATTGTCAAAATCCTTCTTACACGTTCATGCCTGTTAAGTGACAGGAGCTGGGCAGCCACAGCTCCCTTTATCGTGACTCATGAGTGTCAGCCATCGCACCCTTGCCTGGCTTTGCCACCTGTGGGTCCTTCAGGATCATTTTTTTGAAGGAGTGAAGGCTTTATAGTGGTTTATTAGCCGCTGGGTCAGCTGTGCTGCATCTGTACCTGTACCTCTGTCCTGAAACTAGTCCAGCTCCGGCTGTTTCTGTGTTATTGAACCTGAGTTCACAATGATGATTTTTCTCAAAGCTTCTGTCTCTCTCTTCTGTCTAGGTGACTCTGTCACTGACAGCAAAGCGGATGGCCAAGAAGAACTGCCTGGTAAAGAACCTGGAGGCCGTGGAGACCCTCGGCTCCACCTCCATCATTTGCTCCGACAAGACGGGGACTCTGACCCAGAACAGGATGACCGTGGCCCATCTGTGGTTCGATAATCAGATCTTTGTGGCTGACACAAGTGAAGACCATTCCAGTGAGTCTTCCGGAGCCCTCAGTCTGGCCCAAAGCTGTGGACTCAAGCAGGGCACTGAGCTGTATGTGGCCGCAGTGGTCTGCAGTCGCAGAGAATTGTTTGCGTGGTATGGTTTGTGGATAGCAGGCCCAGCCCGCCAGCCTTCCCTGTTCTTTCTGTTTTCCAGACCAAGTCTTTGATCAAAGCTCTGGAACCTGGGCCTCCCTATCAAAGATAATAACGTTGTGTAACCGAGCCGAATTCAGACCCGGACAGGAGAGTGTCCCCATCATGAAGGTAATGCTTATGCGTCACAGCTGGTATGACGTAACTTTCTTCTGATTCGGTGCTTGATTTAATCTCTGCCACTGAGTGAAGTTTGTACTAGTAAGAGCAAGTCTGGCTCACAAGACCTGCAGGAAATTTTCTTCACTGTAACTAGCTCTGAGACATCACAGAGATGTCTGAAAGTTCTTGGAATATTGATTACGTCTTTTGAAAATTGTCTCCTTTCAGAAAATGTGCCTTTAAGTTACTGTCCTAACTTCTTTACTAGCTAAGTAGATATAATCAAAGTTTCTTTATTACATAAATGCCATTCACTGAAGTTTAAAATATAATCGGATGGTGGGCCGGTCCCGTGGCTTAGCGGTTAAGTGCACGCGCTCCGCTACTGGCGGCCCAGGTTCGGATCCTGGGCACGCAACAACACACCGCTTCTCCGGCCATGCTGAGGCTGCGTCCCACATACAGCAACTAGAAGGATGTGCAACTATGACATACAACTATCTACTAGGGCTTTGGGGAAAAAAAGGGAGGAGTATTGGCAATAGATGTTAGCTCAGAGCCGGTCTTCCTCAGCAAAAAAAAAAAAAGGGGATTAGCATGGTTGTTAGCTCAGGGCTGATCTTCCTCACAAAAAATATATATATATATAAATGGATGGAAATAGAAGGACTAATCTTAGAACACAGTCCTCTTGGCAGCAGGTGGAGCGCTGAGGGGCTCTAAACTTCTCTTCCCTGCTCCTCCCCACTCCTCCCCACCCCCCTGCCCTCCCCTACCCTCTCTTCCCCGCTTCTCCCTCTCTTCCCCTCCTTTCTCTTCTCCTCCCCTCCACCTTCTTCTCATCTTTTTTTCCCTCAGTGAGTCACTGAATCTATGTTCTCCTGACTTTTCTATTTGCCATCTAATTTCCTTCATCGACTCTTTCTCTTTCTTACATTTTTTTGTTTGCTTTTCTTGTTTTTTTTTTTTTTGTGAGGAAGATCAGCCCTGTGCTAACACCTGCCAGTCCTCCTCTTTTTCTTTTTTCTTTTTTCTTTTTTTTTTTGCTGAGGAAGACTGGCCCTGTGCTAACATCCGTGCCCATCTTCCTCCACTTTATATGGGACGCTGCCACAGCATAGCTTGCCAGGTGGTGCATTGGTGCATGCCCAGGATCCGAACCGGCGAACCCCAGGCCACCGAAGCGGAGCACGCACACTTAACCGCTTGCACCACTGGGCTGGCCCCTGTTTGCTTTTCTTTCTCATCAAACAGCTCATCAAATTCTCAGACAACTGGTCACATTCTTTTTTTGGCCAATCACCTCTCTGTTGGTATCTTTCACATCCTTATCTCCGGTTATAATTTCTCACCCAAACTCCATAGATCTCCAGCAAGCTATATGTTTCCACTTGGAAGTTTTGTCATGTTAGACTCTCAACAAATTATACTTGTCACCTTCCACCTGTACCCACCCTGGCTCCAAATCAATATTTTGTCTCACGTTTTCTTTTTTTCTATGACATAACCATTTCACTTGTCATCTAGGCCAAAACTTTGGAAGTCATCTTTAACTTTCTTCTTTCCTGATATCTAGTGATTCACTGAGTCATATCATTCTTGCTTCAAAATATCTATAATTTTACATTTCTATTATCACTGATACCTTCCATCTGAATAATTATACCAACCTCTCATTTGGCCTCCATGATTCCAGCTTATCCCTCCCATCGTCTTTCTTGCATGCCAATAGTTTTCCTTCATACTTCATTAGGTGAACTACTTTACCTAACTTTGCTCAAAAACTTTCTGTGTTTCTCTATTTTCTGCTTCTCGAGGCTCAGCCTGCCTTTCTGGGCCCTCTGTACCTCACCATCTCTCACCTCCACCTGCACTTCCGGCATCTACGTTGTGCCTTCGTTCGTGGCATTTTGGTGTCTGCTCCTCTGTCTGTGGGTAACCCACCCGTCTTTCGGGATCTAGTTCATAGCTGCTTATTCCAGGAAACCACCCAGCTCTCCTAGAGCTCTTACGTTTCTGAACTTCCCTAATGCCAGTAGGTGGCACCATTCAGTTTAACACTTTGCCATGGTCTTGAATTATCACTAATTACCATGTAATTGTTGCATCTGTCTAATTAGATGATAAGCTTAGTCAGGTTACATATTCGTTGATTGAAAATAATCACAAAAGGACCAGATTATGTGCTGCAAATATTTCCTTATCTCTTTTGATTCTCAGAAAGCTGTGGTTGGAGATGCCTCAGAAACTGCTCTTCTGAAATTCTCAGAGGTCATTTTGGGTGACGTGATGGAAGTTAGAAAAAGAAACCGCAAAGTAGCTGAAATCCCTTTTAACTCGACCAACAAATTTCAGGTGAGTCTTTCCTCACACCTGAATCTCTGTTATCACTAGAAGGGCATTTCAACGTGTAAGTATCCTTTGGTTAATAAGTGTTTTGAAAGATGCTTGACTTCAAAAATAGTTCTCAGGGATGCAGGGCCTGGGCATCTGGTAAACCCAGAACAGGTTTCCCTTGCTGGTCTCCTTAGTTTGTCTGAATAGGTAGAAAAAAAAAGAAGGTGAAGATCTTGTCCGGACCTGGCTGCTCTTAAGAATGATCTATGTATACTATGTACACACACGCATACCACGCCCACCCCACTGGGTAACTTTTGCACAACTGAGGGGCAACAGCCACATCCCAAAGGATAAGTGAAAGGTGGGGAGAGTTAACACTTACTGCATCCTTAGTCTGTGTCAGGCACTTTACATACATTATCTCATTGAATCCTGACAGTAAACCTCTGACTAATTAATCCCGATTTATAGGTGAGGAAACAGGCCCTGAGAAAGTGTTGATGTGACCAGAGTCCCTCAGGCCTCTAAGTGGCACAACCGATTTTCACAGGTCTGTTTGACTCCTGAGTCCATGAGGCAGAACGGTTTAGTTCAGGCCACGTGAGTAAGTCTTGCCCTTCGTGAAGACCAGTGCATAGCCTCTCAGATGACGAGCCATGTTGTTTCCACTTCTGCCCATGTGCAGTCGATAGGGATCTCCTTTCTCCCCGTTGCTCAGGAGGAAAATGGCCATCCTTGCCTAGTTGTCTCCCCTCATTCCAGGGGTGGCCAGCAATCAACTGTCTCCATAGTCCTCATGTTAGGACAGGTGACGGTTTACCGCCCAAGGTACTGCTGCAGTTGGGATTTCCCACGACTCCACAGCTGAGAGGAGGCATCGTGACTTGATGGTTGCATGACAGTAAAGTCTATATATAGGATAACCAGTTTGTGTAAAAGTTTCTGGTGATTACTCACACATTTTGTTGGGATGGAGTTTAGGATTAGAAAAGAACTATTTGTGTTGCAAACATCTTTGTGGATAATGAGCCGATAAAGAATCGCAGTTAGCCAAATAGACAACTAACAAAAATGAATGATGTAAAATCTGAAGGCCAGGAAATCAGATCTCTTGTTCAAAACATAAGTAAAAATAGAATGCGTAACAATCCTAAAATAACAATAGTAATAATAGTTATCATGTGGTTATTTCCACGTGTATTTAATTACTCAATTCTCATAACGTGCATGCTCTTAAGGACTAGGTCGGATGATCTTTGCAATCAGCAACAGGACTGAGAATCCTCCTGGGACTCCATTGCCTCCTGGTCATGTGAGAAATGAGAAAAGCAGGCTCTGTGAGGCCTCATGTACAAAATGCTAAGGGAGAAAGTGGGCTACCTTGAGTTGGGACTAGAAAGGAGAGAGGGTCCTGTGTGGGTTCCTGCAAAAGGGATCACAGAACCTCTTTGGATGCTGATAGTGCCATTTTATATTAACACTTAGCCCTCCACAAGGAGCTTTAGGTGTCACAACCTTGGAAGGTTTCAGGTATCTTTCAACTGAAGGAAACAAAGTGGCAAGTCTATGTCTTATTGATCTTAGAATAGCAATTCCCCAAACTGAGATTGGTCCATGAAAATATTTTCACTAGTTTATGGCAAATTGGAAAATTAGGACAATAATTTCTATATAAAGATGAATGTATTTAATTTAAAAGATTATCCTTTATATCCTATATGATTAGGACAGGGACTCTGGAGCCTGCTAGCCTGAATTTAAATCCCAGCTCAGCTACCTATTAATGTGTGGCCTTGCACACAAGTCATTCACCATCGGTGTCCTCTCTTGTAAAAGGCGATAGTAATAGTGCCCACAGCCTGAGGGTAGTTTTGAGAATTAGTCAATGTGTGAAGTACTTAGAACAGTACACACTCTAGAAGTGTTTATTATTTCTACTTTTTAAATGTTAAGGTGCTCTATCTTTGAGAAAATGGTAGTGATAATAGATGGGAGGTTTTTGGTTTGGTTTTGGTTTATTAGTTAGTTTTTTAATGTGTTTTCTTGGCCATTAAAAAAAAAAAAAAAAACCTATGTGTGCCTTCTACTTTTTTTTGTACTCATCTCTGAAACCCAAAAGTCTAAGAACTACTGATTTAGAATCAACAGATAGACCCCAAGTTGTAGAATTTTTCTTTGTTACTCATTCTCTCCCAAACACTCTGCTTTCTGAAATTCCTTTCAAAGGCTTAGAAGAGTACCTGGTATATAATAAGAGCTACATAAGATTCAGCCGTTTTATTATTGTCTATAAATTTTTTCTCGTTTTTCTCGATTATCTTATTAGGATGAATCCAGAAGTAGAATTATTAGGTCAAAGGGTATTGATGTTAAAATTATCATACCTGTTACTTAACTTTTCTCCTGAAAGCCTGTCCATGAGTGTGCCCATGTCCTCACAACCCTGCCATTTGCGTTCACATCTAGGCAATAAGGATCTGGATCATTAAGGACATGAAGTGGCACAGGAACTCCTCACGCCCTCATGCCTGTCTGAGCTCAGAATAGCTAGGGTCTGAAAGGCTGCTGCTCATGACAGGGAGGCAGAGGCCAGAGGTGAGGGAGGTGGCTCACAGTGCTCCAGCCCCACGGCCACCCCAGGAGATCTGGTTCAAGGCAGAAGATTTCACAGGATGACAACCACATCTGGCCTTGCTAAAGCAGCCAGTTTCCGCTTGAAAGACGAGCTCTACTTAGTTTGGATTCAAACTCAGGGTGCCCCGCTGGGCTGGGACCGAGTCTAGATCTCTGCATGTTACTTGGCCACAACATAAAAAGGATGGGACATGCCTATAGAGAACACTCTTCTCTTCCATTTCAAGGATAAGTAGCCCAACAGGAGAAAGGGATGTTTTTAATCTTCTAGTCATGTTGCTAATTAAAAGATTTGTACAGTTCAGGCCCTTAGTAGTAAAGATGGTATCATTATTCAAAAGCATGCAGTACTTAACTCACTCAATTCCTTCCCTCCAGCTCTCCATCCACGAGACAGATGACCCCAATGACAAGCGCTTCCTCATGGTAATGAAAGGGGCCCCTGAGAGAGTCTTAGAGAAGTGCAGCACCATCATGGTCAATGGCCAGGAGCAGCCTCTGGACGAGAGCATGGCCGAGGCCTTCCACACAGCGTACATGGAGCTGGGAGGCCTGGGGGAGCGTGTGTTGGGTGAGCTCTGTGTGGCAGAACCACTGTCGGTCACCTGTTGGGTGTGAGGCTCTACGCCAGGTCAGGGCACAAGCTGAGACGGGCTTATGATCTAGCAGAATAGCTGTGGCATCCACATGAATCATAGAAAGAATATGATTAACAGCATGGTAGACATATAAGAGAAGACTACATGATGGCATCTGGGTCGGTTCCAGATAAGGAAAATCTGGGAAGATTTTGTGGAAGGAGTTACATTTTAAACTGAGCCTTGAAAATATTTGAAGGGAGGTGAGGGAAAGCATTCATGGGAGAAGGAACAACACAGGCCAGAGCACAGAGGTGGGAGTGGATGGGGTGTGGGCACACACTGCTGGTGAGCCCAGTATGTGTTGAGTGCTGCAGGGCAGATGAGGTGACACCGTCCTGGGAAATGGGGCTGGAAAGATAGACTGGAGGTCGTGACATGGAGTGCCTTCTGTGGGTGAGTGGCTGGGGCTTCGTTCTGCTGTCAGTGGAGAGTCACTGAAGGCTTTGCAGTGAGTGAACTGATCCGAGTTACCGTGTTTTTTGAAGGATCATTCTTGGCAGCAGCAGGGAGAGGAGAAGCATGGGTCTCAGTAGGAGGTGGCTGCCCTCACTCAGTTGAAAGTGGGCGGGAATTTGATCCAAGGCAATGGGAACTTGAGGAGGGGTCAGATACGAGAGACTTCAAGGAGGTGGAATTAGTAAGACTTAGCAACTAATTAGTGGAGAAAAGTAAGTTTAAAAAATTTTTGAAGTTTCCCACTTAGCTATTAGGGAAAATACACTGCCAGTAACAGAGACATCGATGTTAGAGGTGGAAACAACTACAGAAATACAACCACAGTGGCAGGAGCTTTAATTGTGGTAATTTCAGTGGTATCCCAGGATGTGTTCTGTTGTGAGCATCATGGGTTGACAAAATGGTGCCTCTGAACCACAGAATAATGAATTCAAGGTAACAAATGTTCATGGCTGATGATAAGTGTCATTAAACCTCATGAAAGTTTCTTGCCAGAAGAGACACAATCTGTGGAATGTGTGTTTCTAAAGAATATTTGAGTTTGTAAACCAAATAAAATATACAAAGGAGATGTTGCTTTAAGCATGCCTTAAAATGCTCACAGCACCAGGTAATCTTTTCAATGCAGGACTGCTGCCCATCTGCGTAGAGTCACTCGAGGAACCTCATGTTTGATTCCTAAAGTCTGTGCTTTACTGAAATGTGTAAAATGGTAGGTCATGCTGAGAAACAATTTGATGTAAAAGCTGATGAGAAAGTCACACAATCTGGGAAGTCCCACCAGATGCAGAAATCCCTTCTACCTCAACCTGTGAGAGGCAGATGCCTTCTGAGTGACCAGTGGTTCTACTCCATTCCTAATGGCCTCTCACACTTTTATCTTGATTAAAAACTAAGCTTTATACCATTCCCCTGACACTCCAGATTCTTGCCTCAGTTCGTGCAGTTTTTTCTCTGCCTAAGATGGCCTTTCCACCCCTAATTCCTCCCTTCTTTCCCTGGAGAGTGTATGATGTGTCTCAAGAGTCAGCTCCCATGTGACCTCCTCAGTGAAGTCTTCCCTGATTCCCCAGGTTGCTGCAGCGTCGCTCTGCCCTGTAACACTCACTGTGCTGTATCATGCTTTATCTCTTTATGTCTCTGTCCCCACACTAAACTGGGACATCTTCAGAAGTAAAGGCTGTCCACTCTTGGTCTTTATATCCCTAGGGTGTAACAGAGCACCTAATGGGCACACAGTAAATTATTTTTGGATGAAATATGTCTTTCCTAATAACAAAACGCATTATAGAATTGAAAGAATTAGACAATTCTGGTATGCTCTGAAGTATTGGTAAAATAGTAAAGTACTGAGGGTGTATGAAAACGTTCCTCCTTTTCTTTTGTCGTTTCTTATCCTAGTTTCATTGACTCCCAAATTCATGCCCATTCCAGGTTTCTGTCATCTCTACTTGCCAGCAGACAAGTTTCCAGAAACCTATTCCTTTGATGTAGACACCATGAACTTTCCCACTTCCGGCCTCTGTTTCGTGGGGCTCTTGTCCATGATCGATCCCCCACGGTCCACGGTGCCCGACGCAGTCACCAAGTGCCGGAGTGCAGGCATCAAGGTGCGAGTTCCTTTCCTGACTTGAGATGTCCTCTATTTATGTTGTATCCCTGTCTAATAACGTTTGTCATAGGAGATAGTCAGTATTTAGGTCTCCTTAAGTAAGTATCGTAATTCCCTTTTCTTTAATCTCTGCTTTTACTATACTAAGATTTCAGTACGTGTCCAATAAAAGCAAAATGACTGTGTCTATGTGGAATAAATCACAATAGCAACAGCAGTGAGAAGAAAGCTATCTCTGTGTGCCATGAAGTGGCCATGTCTTGCCCTAGACTACAGTAGACAATAAAAGGTTTTTATACTTAATCTTGAGGTCCAGCCTTTGTAATCATTTGCCTTCATGATATTGAAACCAAAATATTAATTCCGTTGCCATGTTAATATCAAGAAGCACCATGAGGCTGTCCCAAGTAGACATCTACCAGCCCTTTCACAAATAAAGTAACGTCAAAGGGAAAACGCTTCCTCTAGTGTCAGAGGAGGAAATGTAAGAAGCTTAGGAGCAAGGATAGAGCCAATGGATCAGTGTGTCCTGCAAAGACAGTTCTATCTTTGATGTAAAGATCAAGAACTGCCCGTAAGGGCAAACCACAGTAGTCCCTAGCCATGTTCTGCAGGTCATGGTGGCGTGAGCAATACTGAACTGTCCCTAATCCAGCCAGGTGAGTTCCTCATTGTTCACCTGCCTTTTTTGTTGTTTGTGTTCTAGGTTATCATGGTTACAGGTGATCATCCAATCACAGCCAAAGCTATTGCCAAGAGTGTAGGTATCATTTCAGCCAACAGTGAGACGGTGGAGGACGTCGCGCAGCGCCTCAGCGTTCCTGTGGAGCAAGTGAACAAAGGGTGAGCACAGAGCCAATGTGGCAGAAACTCGAGTTCTTGTCCATGGGGCCTGTCGGCTCTAAAGAGCTATGCTGTTGGGAGCAAGTCCCCTTGTTTCCAAACACTCTCTCAGGGTAATACTAGGCTGGTTTCCTCTCTAATTCAGATATCCATTCATCCACTCAATTTTATCAAGCACCTAATACAGGCCAGGCACTGTATTGATACCACTGTATTAAAATTGGTATTGTATTCCTTGTATGAAATTGCAAAATCCAGTGAAGTAGATCTGAAAACTTAAGTGCCCAATTTAGAAAGAAAAATTAAAATAAAGAGTTTATATGAAATTATTTGCTATTGATCCAGTTGTATAATCAGGAATATTAAGAACCTTTGGGTTCTGTGCACTCCCCTAGTGCATTTTAAATATTTATTCAGTTGCCTCATAACGTGTAGCTATGTAAACATATGCTTCTTTTCTGTTTTATTTGGTAGTAAAGAAAAGGGAAGCTTCCTAAGGAAAGACTTGGTTTTTCCTGCGTCTCCTAATTCTTTTAATGATGTCCATCCTTTAGTCCATTCATTTACCCATTCATTGGTGCGTTAATTTTTTCAACAATTAATTGTCAAGTACCATCTATACACCAGGCACTGTGCTAGACGCTGGAACTAGACAGATCTTCCTCGACTTACGAGGGGGTTATGTCCCGATGACCCATCATAAGTTGAAGATATGATAAGTTGAGAATGCATTTAATACATTACCTAACCAAACATGAGAGCTTAGCCTAGCCTACCTAAACATGCTCAGAACACTTACATTAGCCTACAATTGGGCAAAATCATCTAACACAAAGCCTATTTTATAATAAAGTGTTGAATATCATAATTTATTGAATACTGTACTGAAAGTGAAAAACAGTGGTTTTCTGGGTGCAGAATGGTTTTCTGGATGCAGAATGGTTGTAAGTATGTGGATTGTTCACCCTTGTGATCACGTGGCCGGCTGGGAGCTGCATCTCGCTGCTGCTGCCCCTCATCATGAGAGAGTATTCTACCGCATAGTGCTATCCCAGGAAAAGAACAAAATTCAAACTTCGAAGTATGGTTTCTACTGAAGGCATGTTGCTTTCATAGCATCGTAAAGTTGAAAAATCGTTCAAACCATTTGTAGTAGCAAACAGACCAGACACTCTCCCCACCCTTGGGGAACTTTCCATCTAGCCAGAGGGACAGAAAAATAAAAACTAATTGTGATGTGATAAGTACAACAAAGGAGACACTCTGGGGATGAAGGAGCTGGCAGTGGGAGGAAGAGTTACCTGGACTGTGGATAATTTTAATGATCAGACTTCAAAGTCTCAGTTTGAAAATAAATGTCATTGGCCTTATTACACATGTGGAGAAAAAAATGAAAGACCAATGAACCTCTTCCAGTTTCCCTAAGTATTTATGCCTTTTAGGAGTACAGAGCTGTCAGGTAATAAATTATTTCAAGGCGACAAATTACCAGTTAAGACAACCCAAACAGAGTTACAGCCTCTGGGCACAACAGCAGTATCTGTAGTCTGAGAGTATTCCAGCACTTGTGTGTGTGAACAACACTCATCTACGAAAACAGGTTTGGTGCTTTTATTTGTTTTGTTTTTAAAAATAATAGGATTCTGCATTTTCATACAAGTGACCACACTGAGCAGGAGAGTGGGGTGGATACTTCTGTGCATGTTTTCAGTTTCCACTTGATCAGCTCTAGCTTGACAACCATATAATAACTGTATTTTTGCAGCTGTGGAGGGAAAGGAAAGACCATCTCTTTGTCTTTTATATTTTTTTACCAGGACTTAAGAAAACCTGTAGTTTGAGTCCAGTGCTGGAATTCTAATATTGAGCACCAATAGGAAAAAACAGACCTAAAAAAGCTCAAGACTTTAAAAATGTATAGAAAAAGGCATGCAGTGTTTTGTACTTAAGAGTGTTTAAGCTGAGATTTGAAGGCTGAAATGTGGAGTGTTGGCCAAGGGCAGGTGAGGTGAGAGGTGCCCTTTCCTGGCAAAGGCAGCAGGACCCATGCAGGCCTTAGGGCAGTGGGATGGAGGTGGAGGGTGGAGACCTGAAGAGTCCGGTCCGCAGGAGGAAAGAGCCAAAGGAGTGATGAGGCTCGTGACCCGGGCTGCACTGGCCTTCCAGACCAGTGCGGCACTTGGGGAGGGGCTGCCTTCAGACAGTGGAAAGCCTCTGAAGAGTTTTGGCAGGGGGTAACACAGTCAGATCTGCATAATCAGTAGTTTCTAGAACCTTACTCTTATAGTCAGCCGACAATAGTTTTCCTCAAAGAAGACCTCAATAAATTTTTCTCCTTACATAGCTCATTGTATGGGAGACACCCTATAAATCTGAAATAAACAACAAAGAATTGTTACCCATGTGTTTTGGCATAAGCTAAATCGCTAGGATCCAAAACATAAACAGGCAGTTTTTTTTTTTTACCCTCCTTTTACTTGTTTAGTAAAACATTGCCCTAGGAAGTACCACTTCTCACCCATTCCTGTAAGGAAAAGGCTATTTGGCTTATTCCTATTGTTGTTTGATATCAGGAAATGGCCTTACTTGTAGCCTCAGTTTACTGTCTTGAAATGGAGACCCAGGTGTCACCGGTACCTGTAACCCTGTCATGCCACTAGAGTATTAGGTGTCAGGGATGTTGGGTTGCAGGTAAAGCCAAAGAGGCATCAGCCCACTTCCTGCCCAGAATGGTGTTTCCACCTAAGCTCCGACCTTTGGCCTCACCCGGTTCCTTCTGGCCCTTCTAGGGACGCTAAAGCTGCAGTGGTGACTGGCATGGCGCTGAAGGACATGAGCCCGGAACAGCTGGACGAGCTCTTAACCAGCTACCCAGAGATCGTCTTTGCCCGGACATCCCCCCAGCAGAAGCTGATCATCGTGGAGGGCTGTCAAAGGCAGGTGGGTGGACAGCAGCACTGGGCAAAACTTCCAGGTCTGTCACTGTCCCATAGGGAAACGCAGGGCTGAGATCTGGATCCCAGATCACGGCTATGGTGCCTTGTAAACCTCTCAAGAGACAATTCTTTGCCTGTCCTCATCACTCCACATTTCTACCCTCTCGGGAGGCTGACCCTTCTGCCCTCCTTTGAAACCCTCCCGCACACAGCACCATGCTCCCGGAAAGACTTTCTGACAGTATAGAAAGATTTAAAAACGTAAGCTGTAGAAAAAAAGTGTAAAGACATAAGATATAAAATGTGCACTTTCACCCCCACATACATTGGTTTGATTATTCCAACACATCTTGTTTGCAGCTCATTGTTCTTGCTTCTGGGATTTCTCGTTTTTGTCTTTTCCCCTGTCGGGGAAGAGGGAGAATGCCCCTCCACCCTTTCCCTTAAGGTTCTTATGGCTGGCCAAATAATTAAAAGACAGGTTAGCAGGAGAAAATAATACCAAGTTTAATAAAATGTATTCAGGGGAGAAACCTGGGAAACTGAGTTTCTCAACACAACGGCAGAGATTCTTGTCTTAAATACTATCTTCAGCTAAAGACAAAGAAGGATGTTGGAGGTGGGGGACAGGAGGGAGACAGAAATTACAGTAATCAAGAGTATGTAGATTTAAGTCCTTTTCTTCCATCCTGATAAGAGTTTCCAGAGATACGTCGTCCATCCCCGGCCTCTTCCCAGTACAGAGAGGGAGATACCTTTTCAAATGTAAATGTTTGGTAAACAGGACTTTGATAAGAATGGGCTTAGCAATGACCCTGCCAGTCTGTCTATACCCAGAGTTAAATTCCTTTAGGCAGTTTGGAGGAGGTCACATGTCAGTCAGAGAAAATAATCAAGGTGAGACATATTTCAGGGTGGTCAATTTTGATCTCCCACACCCCAAAACGGGCCATTCATTTCGGCTCCAGTCATCCTCGCAGCCTCAGGATGAAAGGTGGACTGTGTTGTTCTTGCCAACTTGTGACCTGCTCACTCCCGTTTTCTCCCTGTGTCCCTTAGGATGCAGTTGTCGCTGTGACAGGGGATGGCGTTAATGACTCTCCAGCTCTGAAGAAGGCAGACATCGGGATTGCCATGGGGATAGCAGGTTCTGACGCAGCCAAAAATGCAGCTGACATGGTCTTGCTGGATGACAACTTCGCATCTATAGTCACCGGGGTGGAGGAGGGTGAGTGAGGTCTCAAGTGGTCTTACCAAGGGCTGGGGTCCCTTGGGAAACCAAAAGCAAGTCCTATAAGGAGAAACATCTTTGCCTAGGTCGCCTGATCTTTGACAACCTAAAGAAGACTGTCGCTTACACCCTGACCAAGAACATTGCTGAGCTGTGTCCTTTTCTGATCTACATCATTGCTGGGCTCCCCCTGCCCATTGGCACCATTACCATCTTGTTCATCGACTTGGGCACAGACATAGTAAGTAGCTAAAGGGAACAGCGTCTGTTTACCGCCCCAGGTGATGTGAACTTCAGAGTCCTCACCTTCAAGGGCAAGGAGATGGACTAAAGGGATGGCAATTCTGCTGGCCCACCAGCCACACTTCAAAGCAAAGGACAGAGAGATCTGTCAAGTGTTTGGAAATTAAAACCACTTCACTCCATTTAAGAGCTTTTCAAAATATGAGTTCTTCACCCCACCAAAAAATAAAAATATGCCATTGGTCAGTTTCAGCTCACATCCTCCCTTTTCTTTCTATGGAGCTATCACCAAAATAGTCCCTGTGCTGCTGGGGCTCCAGTGGGCAAAGTGATATCCCACAGCTGCCTCTAGTTAAAATAAAAGCATCTGTGATCTGGAAGCCCCTCACCTGCACACAGTAAGAAGTAGCAGTGGCTAACACTTGATGAAGCCTCACAATGACCTACAACAGCGTCACCTAAACCATTTAAGAAAGCTTCATGACAGTTACTCACATGGCTGCGGCTTATACAGCAAAGGGGAAAACAGCAACAGGGAGCAAGCCAAGCTCACAGTGGGGAGAACAGCCCTGCAAATTGCTGCCTTCCCCACTCTTGTTTTCTATGGTACCCAGGCACCCTCCACATCCAAGGAGATGAGAGATATCTTTACCTTAGAGGGGAATTGAGGTCTTTGGAGTTTACAGTCAGATCACTTTCCAGGACCTTTATATGTGTTCTGTTTTCTCCACTGTAGTGGTTCTTCCACTGTGGCCCAGGCATCACCTGGGAACTTGTTGGAAGTGCAGATTCTTGGGCTCGGCCCCGCCCAGACCTCATGAATCAGAAAGTCTGGAGGGGCACCCAGTGATCTGTCTTTTAAGAGGCCTTCCAGGTGGGAGGACCTGTGAGAGAACCACTGTGATCCAGTGGCATGCCAAAGAGGGAGAGGGTGGTAGCAGAAATCTGCCACAGAGGGGAAAAGTGTTTTATAACCAGCATCGTTTAGAGCTGCCAGCACATCAAAAAGCAGATTGATTTTTAAAGCCGACTGTTCTTAAATTCTTTACAGACAGTGCACCCTATTGCCTGCACCCTGGATAGACAATTCCATAACCCCACCACCACCACCTGCCAGCCCCACCCTGACTCCTTGGCCCCTTGCTGTGCATCCCCACTGCTGTCGTCATGCTGTGGAAAGTGAAGTGTCTTGGTGTGTGGCTTCATGGGCTCTCTTCCCTCTAGATTCCCTCCGTTGCCTTGGCTTACGAGAAAGCTGAAAGTGACATTATGATCAGGAAGCCTCGCCACAAGAAGAAGGACAGACTGGTGAACAAGCCACTTGCCATATACTCTTACCTGCACATTGGTATGATGAGGGCATTTCTTGCAGTTTACACTAGGGACCACCCAGAGAATTCATTCCAGTCACAGTCAGAAACTGTTTTTCCTTGTGGGATGGGTTGGGATGGGAAGAGGAACCAGAGGAGAATGAGAACAGGGCAGTTCTGAAGTCATTAGAACACCTCTCCCTTATCTCTTCTTTCAGGCCTCATGCAAGCCCTGGGCGCTTTTGTTGTATATTTCACGGTGTATGCACAGGAGGGCTTTAGACCCAGTGCTCTCATTAACCTCCGGGTGGAGTGGGAAAAGGACGATGTGAATGACTTGGAAGACAGCTATGGACAAGAATGGGTAAGGGAGGGGCTCTGCCATCAGCCTCCTCCTGTTCTCCCGTCCTGTCCCTGCCTTGCGCGGACTGACACAGAACTCTCATTTCCCTGACAACCTTACTGAAGCAGAGAGGGTGCGAGTTAGCTCAGTTAATAGGGCCTGTGGGCCACTGGGATACATTGGTTTGGCCTTTGCTGTGATTCAGCCTCAAATTAGATGCCTGGAGCTCAGTTTTTTCCATTAGCTTTGCAGTTGGTATGGAGGAGTAACTAGTCCAGCAATGCCCACAGTTGGGCCAAATCAATTGAATTAACATCTTTTCCTACTCACCTGCTTAAAGAAGAAACATGTTTCTTTCCAAACACAAGGAGGTGATCCTCTCTCAATCTTGGTGAGAAGCGGGAAGAGAGTAAAGTGCCACAGAACTGCATGGAAATCTCCCTGAAGTCTTCCCTCCCCAGGCTTACAGCCTCCTCTTTCTCTGCCCATGGACAGACGAGCTACCAGAGGAAGTACGTAGAATGGATGGGCTACACGGCTTTCTTTGTTGGCATCATGATCCAGCAAATAGCAGATCTGATCATCAGGAAAACCCGGAGGAATTCCATCTTCCAGCAGGGCCTCTTCAGGTACTGCCTTCGTCCGGCTGCCTCGTTCAACCCTGGGCCCTCGATGCTGGGATGATGAAGGCCATGCCTGTAACACATAAGGCATTGACTCCACTGGGCATGTGGTCCTGGGACCATGGGAATTCAGAATCTGTTTGCTTTTATGTGTCTTGTAGAAATAAAGTCATCTGGGTGGGGATTGCCTCACAGATTATCATCGCGTTGATCCTCTCCTATGGCCTGGGAAGTGTCCCAGCCCTGAATTTCACTGTGCTCCGGTGAGTTCCTCTTCAGCAGCGGGGGAGAAGGAGCCAGCCCCATTCTGAGCTGTCACAGCCTAAAGAAACGTTAGGATTCCAGGGGCTTCTTTCCCCTCAGGTCTTTCAAAAGAGGTAAAACAATTGTTTCTATATTAGTCAGAGACTTGGACCTGTTAGTTTTCCCCAAAGAGGAAATGGGTTTTCCATCTTATGGAAATGGCTCACCATCTTATCTCTGCCCTCATCCAACAGGTCACTTCAAGGGCAGAAGAATAGCCATCACAGTCCAGGTTAAAGAAGAATCTTTCCAGTTTTACGTTGTATATGAGTATATGTTGCCATATACCCTTACCTGCACATTGATACAATGAGGGCATTTCTCTCAAGTCGCACAAGGGACCACCCAGAGAATTCATTGCAGACCCAGTATTTGTTGTTCTTTCTAGTAAGGCAAGGAACATGAACAAGAAGCCCTCTGCCTGTTGGCAGCGCGAGGCCTTGTCTTGGGTGCATTAGGACTCACCCTCCTCCCTTCTGTTTCTAGGCCTCAGTATTGGTTTGTGGCTGTGCCATATGCCATTCTGATTTGGGTATATGATGAAGTACGAAAACATTTCATCAGACTCTACCCTGGAAGTAAGTAGTACTATGATTTTTGAGACTCTGTTTATCTACTTCAACAGACTCTTCATTTCTTATTTGCTTTTTCTACCTCTGCAGGCTGGTGGGATAAGAACATGTATTATTAAGACCATCTTACTTCACAAGCCTCCCAGCCACACCCTGGAGATGTTCTTCCTTTTCTTGCCACTAGCTGGGAAGTTGCTGCAGGAGGGACATCATCAGGATGCGTACAAGAAAAGGCAGAGAGCGTCTGAAAGATGCTCACTGATGTTTTGTGCTTTAAAGCAGAGATTCAACTTTTTATATATGATTTTCATCTCTATATCCATATCCTTATTTAAAAATCTGTGAACTTCAAAGTAATGGTGTAGGAAGAATGACATGTCTCTATGTGTACAAAGCTCAGTCGTGTTAAATAGTCTGGGGTAATGCAGATGTCTGCTGGGGTCTCCTTGCTCCTTAAGCTCCAGATAGGACTGCTCAGACCTCCATTCCACACCCTTTAAAAGTCCCATGACCTCCCTAAGATTTCTGTGAATTCCCAGAGAACTTATGTTTTCACAGTCACCATGCTCAAAAAAGGCTAATTCAGCTGAAGGTTTGCAAGAGGTGGAAGTGATGGCAGGTGTACATCCCAGCAACATGGACAGCCTCAGTTTTGACTCGGAGACATCCTTCTTAAAGGTCTTCAGCCACCTGGCTTCGCGCCCCCTCATCCCACATCTCACCACCTCACCAGTGCTTGGTGTCCCCCCTCCTCCCATCTTGACTCCTCACTCCCTCCCACGTTGCCCTCCACCTGTACCACCAGCTCCTCCAAAACTGAGCTCCAAGTCCATTTTGCACATCCTAACTCCAAAGGCTCTCCTGACCCAAAGAGGTTTTCATTTGCCAAGACTCAACCTCAGTAGAGAACCGTTGTGGTTTAAAACAGTAATATTGATTTCTTGTAAAACGGTTGCAAAGCACTCTCCAGTACTCGTTTTATGTCAGTCATGTTCCATGCTTTATGTTAGGTTTATTCATGTGTGACACATATATCTATGTTGACAGTCCCAGAGAAGCCTGGTTTTTACATCAGGATTTCTATGGGAGGATGCATCTTTCAGCAGCAGCACACAAGAGAAAATAGTTTTCATAGCCTTTCCATCGACTTTACACCCAGCGCAGACTGATTTGCCAGAACCTGAAAATTACGTTTGGTTAAACTTTTTTTTCAGTGGCCTTATCCCATCACCTCGCCTCCATTCTTCCTTTGTGTAAAGGACAATGTCTAAGCACATTCTGCTGCTGGTGGCTCTAGATTGGTATCTGCAACAGGAAAAGGGAGGCTTAGAGCCACGGTTCTCTACCATTTTCTCAGAGGTCGCATTTAGAAGCATGCAAGAAGTCGAGACCTATGATTGTAACTTTACGTGAATAGATTCTAATGCACAAATGTGTATTGTATGTGTTTATTTAAGTTAAAATAATGTTGTCCTCAAGGTTTTTATTCTCTATTTTCAGCCACAGTTATCGTTGGACTAATCTCCATTCTGTCAGTAGTTCCCATGACTGGAAACCCTTTCCAGGCAGCATCATCATGGCTGTCTCATTCCAGTCTCGACAAGATGGCTAATGCTTTCTAAACTTCAGCCAGGTTTAACTTGTCCTCACTGTTTTTCCTGCCAGGCTGTCCAAGTGCCGCTGGCTGTGACCATCCTGTCCAAGCCAGCTGGAGAAGGTTGTAAATAGAGCACAAAGCTGTAGGGGGTTAAGTTGGGGTGGATTAAGTTTGAAAGGAGTTCAATTTGAATAGAAGTCTCTTCACAGCAGGAACCCTGTCTGGAATGACTTTCATATTGTGCATACCTACTCTTGCAAAAAGTTGACACTCAGATATTTGTAAAATGAACAAATAACTAATTTAAGGAATCCCAGAAATGAGACTGGTATAACAAATACCTGTATTCAGTTGTAGACAGAGAAAGGCAATAAAATCCCATATCAGAGGGTTTTTCCCAGAGGGATTACTTCATTGACCCATTAAGGCCTAGATATTTTTTAGAAAAAGTAAGTTAATTTAAATCTAACTGGTGTGGCAGATTTAAGTCAGAGATATAAAAATGAAGCTGGATTTATAGACTTTTTTTTAACTATTTTATTCTGATTATAAAATTACAGCTCATTTTAGAAAATTTGAAATATCCAAGAGTCAAAAAATTAAAATCATCCTGAGTCTCACTGCCGAGTAATAGATCTAACTGATAGAGTAGGTATTTCTTTCGGGATTTTCTGTACATATATTTATTTTTAGGCAAAATCGAAATAGAAAGTTTTCTATTCTACCTTTTTATTTAACATTGAAGACGTGATCTTAATGAGTGTGCAGTACCCCACATTGAGAGTTCTGTAACCATGTCCCCACTGTTGGATATTCATTTAGTTCCTATTCATCTTTTTTTTTTTAAAGGCCACATCTTGTACCCCATCTCTGATTATTTTATAATAGATTCCTCAAAATGGAATTAAGGGGTTAAGAGTATTTTTAAGCCTCTTGATACACATTGCCAAATTTATTTTCAGATAAGCTATATTAATTTACATTCCTGTCAACAATAATAAAGTGAATATTTATCTTGCCTGTCATTAGCATATGAAAAATCTGTTAACTAGGAGATTTTTATTCATTCAACGAAGATGTACAGAGTGCCTGCTGTGTGGTCTGAGAGCACAGCAGGGAACAAGACAGACTCATGGAGCTGGTCAAGACAGAGTGGGGCTTAAGTCAGTTATAGGATAGGGAGGTGTGGTGAGCCTACTCTAAATGTGGGGGTCAGGAAAGTCCTTTCTGAGGAGGTGAGTGGAAAGGAACCGCCGCTGTCAAGAACAGAGAGGAGAGAATTCCAGGCAGAGGAGACAGTGTGCAAAAGCTCTGAGGACAGCGAGGTGTGGCAGGAGCACAGACAGCACAGGAAGACTGGTTCCTCAGGCAGTTGGAGAAATAGGCCAGAATCTTATCATATAGGGTCTCATGGTCCATGTGAAGGAGGTTGGATTTCATTACAAATACAATGTCCAACCACTGAAGATGAATAATAAAGGCAGTGACTTGCTCGAGTTTACGTGGTAAGATTACTTGAGCTTCTGTGTGGAGGGTGGAAGGAGGGCCAGGCAAGAATACACACAAGGAGGTGAGTTAGGAAGCAAGGAAAGCCATGATTTAAGACCAGGCAAGTGGTGACAGTATGAGACCAACGTGTGGAGCACTGGCTCTTGCCTGTGTGTGTGGACCTTTAAGTGGATACACAGACTTCCATGGAGGAATTGTGTAAGGGAGGTTACCTATAGATGGTCCAAATCAGGCCCCTAGAAAGGCCACCAGTTTCCCTGATGACATTATTATCAAGATGGGGGAGAGAAGACACTGAGGCAAGGATCTTCCTCTCAGAATTCTGAAATGGGACAAGAGACATGTCTAAATGCACACGTAGGGCCGGCCCTGTGGCTTGGTGGTAAATGCACACGTACTCGTTGCTTCTGACTCCGTTGACAAAGGTTATAAGGTCTCCACGTGCATTCATTCTGCCAGCATCATTCCGTGGCGGAGTTTCATGTCTCGTAGCAGGATAGCGACAGCTGATATCTATTACATACCTATTAGGTCCTGGGCACTGTGATAACCTAAAGCAGTATCTCAATGCTCACAACAACCCCAGCAGTTAGTAGCATCACCCTTGCATTATAAATAAGGAAACCAAGACTTAGAGGTAAGTGACTTGCCCAGCACTTGTCCATTTCTTTGGCTCCACTAAGCGGCTGGCCAACTTCAGCATCTGTAAAGTGGTGTGAGAGAATTTGTGCTACATGCCCTCTAGAGCACACCCTTCAGGCATGCTTGACAGGCTAAGGTTCTGGAGAATTGATAGCAATTCAAGATATTCCTTGTCTGTAGGTACTCAAGTGAATCCTGCCCTGTGACGGGCAGTCCTTCCTCTGGAAAAGCCAGTTTTGCTTCCTTTGCAGAGTCATCTGACATTCCTTGACTCCAGATAAATGTATGCTTTGCTCCTTTGAACCGGTTTTAACAACTACCTAGTTTGCTCATCTAGATAATGAGCTAAATAAAATCTTGAACAGTTGTTCATTTTGTATCTGTATGAGAGTCATGATTTTACTTTTTCTTTGAAAATTATCCTTTCACAAGAAAAGAGGAAGAAAACTACCATGCATTCCTTCCGGGGCACTCTTAGCCTTGGCACAGACATCTGCCAGTTCCAGCTGCCCACACGTGAAACTGCTCTACCAACTCCAGCTCAGCTGGGCTGCCCAGCCAGCCGCCCACGCAGGCCCCAGGGCCTGGCTTCTGGGTTTCGCTTCTGATTAATGATGCTGTTTTTGCCGCTTCCGACCAGATCTCTCAGCAGGCTCCTTCCTCCCCTGACCCCATTCCTAGTTCCTCACCCACCCCTCTGACATATCAGCACCCAACTCGGGATTTTATCTGTTGGGTTCAGAGGTTCTAAGATAAAGTTTAATAGAAATTTAAGACTAAAGCCTAATTTTAAAGGGATAGAAGCTCCCCTCTACAGAGTTGTGAAGATAAATTGAGATATTGTGAAGAAAAGCATTTCATAAGCCTGAAAGTACTACAATTTATTAAGGGTTTTTTTGTTTGTGTTTTTACGTTTTATATTTACAATATGGGATTTCTTCCTTATGCATTCATTTTTCAACAAATTAAGCATCTGCTAGATACATGGCACCAGGCTAAACGACGTGAGAAACAGTAAGATTGATGACTAAGATTGTGGTGCCAGCCTCAGAGGAGCAAATGATGCAGCAGGAGAGACAAGACATGTTTGTAAAGAAACTGTGGATCAAGGGCAGGATTCGATACAGGCAGCAGAGGCACAGAGTGCTGTGGGTACTGAGGAGACCACCCCCGGCAGGCCCAGTTCAGCACTTCGGAGGTGGGATTTCAGTGGCAGAGGTGAGGGACAGCATCGCAGGGCAAGGAAGGGACAGAGGCCAGAGATGTGTTCCCAGGGGGTCACAATGTGTACTGGAAGCCAGCTCCCTTCCAGGCAGTTTTCAGGCTACGTGGGTGAAGTAACTGCAGGGTGGAGACACCTATTTCAGCTCTCAGAACTCCCTGTGAGCATGGGTACGATATTCCACCTGGTCATCCCTGGAGGGCTGTAGTATCTGTGATCAAACACCTAGTGGAGAGAAATAAGATTGCCTGTGGAAGTAAAACTCTAATCAACACGTCCAGGGCCAGAGCTGAGATGGCAGAGAGTCACCTTCAATAAGGAGACTGTGATACTAAAGATGTGTCAG